TGACTCTACTCAGCCTGAGGCCCACTGAAGAATTAGAGTCAATCCATTGAGCACCGTTTCTGAGCTCTCTCACTTCTTTTCATCTGGCAAACATTATCTTTCTTCTACTTAGTATCTAACCCTTCAGCCTTCACCTCCTCAGAGTTATAAAATTCAAGTTATATTGGGATGGCCATGTGGCATAGCAGTTAAGTTGCTGCTTGGGATGCCTGCATCTCATATTGGAATACCAGTTCAAGAGTCCTGGTTACTCTACTTCTGATCCAGCTTCCTGCTAATGGTCACCCTGGGAGGAAGGAGATGATGGTGCAGGTACTTGGGTCTCTCATCCACGTGGAAAATCCAGATTGAAATCTGGGTTCCTGACTTTGGCCTGGCCCGACCCTGGCTCTTGTGAGCATTTTTGGAGTGAAGCAGTAGAAGGAAGTTCTCTCTCCAACTATCTGCCCTTATGAATTTCTGAGAGAGAGAGAGAGAAAACAAAATAACAAAATTCAGATTATATAATACCATTCGTCTGTAGTTCTTTTTATTTATTTATTTTCATTCTATTTCAAAAACAGAGAAACAGAGCAAATAAGAGACAGAGAGACAGACAGTGATCTTTTATGCCCTGATTCACTCCCCAAATTCCTGCAAGGGTCAAGGCTGGGCCAAGCCAAAGGCAGGAGCCCAGGATTCTATTAGTGCTTCCACATAGGTGGTGAGACCTGAGTAGACTCATCATCAGTTGCCTTCTACAATGTGCATTAGCAGGAAGCTGGGTCTGAAACAGATTTGCTGGGATCCAAACTAGGCACTGTAATAAGGGCCGACTCAGACTGCTGTATGCTGTCCCCCACCCTTGCAGTTTTACAGCACCCTGAGCCTCTTCATCACTGTGCTTATCAACCTATATGACTTTTCTTGTGTATATAGATCTATTAAAGATCTATTATTAGATAATAAATGGAGAAAGATAAGGATTCTCATTGAATCTCTATTCACATTGCTCTGTGATATATGTATTATATATAATAATGTTTAAAACATGTATTGAATTACATAGGAAAAGGGAGCCCATTCAGGAAGCAGGTGCTTATAAGGGTTTAAATTTTATATCTTAGCTATCTTCTTCATAGAGTCACAATCAGTTTACAAAATGATAAGAATAAAATTGATTAGGTCATTAAATTGAACTGCAATCTATTTTGAAGCTTTCTAACTACTTTAGAATCAGATTTATGGTTCTGTTTAAATTCTATCTTAGGCTGGCGCCATGGCTCACTTGGCTAATCCTCTGCCTGCAGCACTGGCATCCCATATGGGCACCAGGTTCTAGTCCTGGTTGCTCTTCTTCCAGTCCAACTCTCTGCTGTGGCCCAGGAGGTCTGTGGAGGATGGCCTAAGTGCTTGGGCCCCTGCACCCACATGGGAGACCAGGAAGAATCACCTGGCTCCTGGCTTTGGATTGGCGCAGTGCCGGCCATAGTGGCCATTTGGGGGATGAACCAATGGAAGGAAGACCTTTCTCCCTGTCTCTCTCTCTCACTATCTAACTCTGCCTGTCAAAAAAAAAAAAAAAATTCTATCTTATAGTGGCCAGTGCTGTGGCACAGTGGGTTAGGTCATGCAGGCACTGGTTCAAGTCATGGCTGCTCCACTTCCAATCCAGCTCCCTACTGATGAGCCTGGGAAAGCAGCAGAGGATGAGCCAAGTCTTTAGGCCCCTGCACCCATGTGGGAGACCTAGAAGAAGCTCCTGGCTTGGGCCTGGCCCAGCCCTGGTTGTTGAAGACATTTGGGGAGTGAACTAGCAAATGGAAGATTTTTCTCTCTGTGTCTTTCTGTCTCTCTCTCTTTGTCTTTCTGTCTCTCTCTTTCCTTCTCTATCTGTAACTGTGGCTTTCAAATAAATTATTTTTTAATTTTATTTGACAGATAGAGTTAGTGAGAGAGAGAGAGACAGAGAGAAAGGTCTTCCTTCCATTGGTTCACCCCTCAAATGGCTACTACAGCTGGCACGCTGCGCCGATCCAAAGCCAGGAGCCAGGTGCTTCCTCCTAGTCTCCCATGCGGGTGCAGGGCCCAAGGACCTGGGCCATCCTCCACTGCCCTCCTGGGCCACAGCATAGAGCTGGACTGGAAGAGGAGCAACCGGAACTAGAACCTGGTGCCCATATGGGATGCCAGTGCTGCAGGCAGAGGATTAACCAAGTGAGCCACAGCGCCGGCCCCTCAAATAAATAATCTTTTTTAAAAAACTATCTTACATAAGTAAGATAGAACGCATATTTTATAAAATAATATAAGGCAGGCCCTGGCCAACTATTACCTATTTTTATAGAAGCACCAGCAAATATTAGCATAAATTTCAGGATGATATGCAAAATACAGACTAAAGAGTTACTGGAGGAAGAGTTTAAATGTGGAGCAACATGTGAAGGACCCTTTCCTAGACAGGTTTCTAGACAGATCCTGACAAGTATAATTTTTCTTAATGAAACTTGGTTCAGAGATTCCAAATGCCTTTTTTTAAAAAAAAATCAAAATGAAGCAGCTAGGGTGGTGGCACACCAGATTAAGTAGCCAGTTACAACACCTACATCACACATCAGAGCACAGGTTGGAATCTTGGATGCTCTGCTTCCAATTCAACATCCTGTGAAAGTACCTGGGAAGCAGCAGAGGATGGCCCAAATGTTTGGACTCCTGGAGACCAATGGCCAGCCCTGGCCATTGCAGGCTTTTGGGGTGTGAACCAGTGGATGGAAGATCTCTCTTTTTGTCACTCTTTCTAATAAATAAATAAGTATCTATAAAAGAAACCAAAATGGAATCTTTTCAGGTTTAAAATAAATACACAAGCGTAACATAAAAGTCTATGTGAGTGTAGTAATTCAATGAGGCTTGTTTGTTTTAATATACACAAAAATATAACTGATCATCTGTAGTATGATTATCTTTTTTTTTTTTTTTTTGGACAGGCAGAGTTAGACAGTGAGAAAGAGAGAGAGAGAGAGAAAGAGAGAGAAAGGTCTTCCTTCCGTTGGTTCACCCCCCAAATGGCCACTACAGCCAGCGCGCTGCACTAATCTGATGCCAGGAGCCAGGTGCTTCTCCTGGTCTCCCATGCGGGTGCAGAGCCCAAGCACTTGGGCCATCCTCCATTGCCTTCCCAGGCCACAACAGAGAGCTGGACTGGAAGAGGAGCGACTGGGACAGAATCCGGTGCCCCAACTGGGACTAGAACCCGGGGTGCCGGTGCTGCAGGGGGAGGATTAGCCTAGTGAGCCGCGGCACTGACCTGTAGTATGATTATCTTACATAGAGATTTTTCCTTTATTTTCCAAGGAAGGAATGGCATGATGAAAGCAGTAGGATTCAGCTGGCCTTTTTGTTTTCTCAATTTCTCGCTTTACCTGGCTCAGGACTCTGGAGTAGAAGAGGTAACTCCACTCCTATCAAAGCACTGAGAAGGAAAAGGTCACCCGGGGTATCCACCTGCCTCCAGGCTCAACAATGCTCCCATTGTCTTCAGTTCATTCACACAACCACACCTGTCAGAAGCTGCCCAATCTCACTTTCTTAGAAAGAATGAGAGAAATTAGAAAAAAGGGAAAGCTGGCCTTAGGAAGTGATTCAATGTATCAAAGTGTCTTTTTATGTTTGAGTGCAAGAAAGTTCAATATTTTCGTGTGAGAAAATGCTTTAAATTAAGAGAATAAAACTTATTTATTAAGCACCTCTTCTACATGTGTGAACTGCATATACCTATTTATTTAGTCTCTAGGAAAATTAGGGATTATATTTCCTGAGGAAACCAAAGCCAAGAAAACGAAACCCAGTGGGTGACTGACCCAGGATTCAGACTCGGATCCCTTCGCTTATAAAGCCCCAGTTCTTTCCTGAGTCTGCTGCCTCGGAGACAATGCAGAGCCCCCAATCTCATTTGAAATTTCAACAGCATTTTTGGAAAAAAAAAAGGGGGGGGGGGAACGCACAAAAGAAAGGAGTCTGTCTGGGTTGTCCAAAGATCACCGGAGAGGACAATGTGTGGCTTTGGGTGGGGGTGGGGATTTCGACTTTTCCTCCCTCCAGTATTCTTCTCTTAGTGCGTCTCCAGGCGTAATCAACCTCAGGGCGCCGCGGTGGTGCGAAGGTCATGGCCGAGCGCAGCGGAAGTGCAGAGGGGAGCGGACACGTCCGAGAGCCTTTAGAATACGTGTCTGATCTGTTCTCGTCCATTCCCACTGCCCCTGCCCTCAACTTCTCGGGAACGGCCACGTCATTCTGCTCTCTTCCAGCTTGCTCTCCCCCAAGCCTTTCCCAGCACCCACCCAGAGAATCAGATGGAGTCACTATTCCGTCTGAACCCTCCGTGCTCCGAGGGCCAAGGGAAACTTAACTTTCCGTGGCTTCCCAGGCCCTTCCCTTTGCCTCCCCTACTCAGCACCGGGATTCCTACCTCTTTGCCGCCCATCGACCTGTTCACCGAGCTCCGACCACCGGGGTCCCCAGCACCCCTCGTTCTTCTGCCCTTGCCTTCCACTAGCCCGAGTCCCGCTCACCCTCCGAGTCTCTGCTGCGATGCCACCCGCTCAGGCCTCTCACCCGCGGTCAAATAGGGTCTCCCTAAACTTGCTCCACTAGCCCACTTCGTGTCATGGAGTGCAATTCTCGTTACAAACTTGCCGATCCTTGTTAACTTTTGCAAACGCACGGGTTTAGCACTCTGACCTGAGTGAATGAATGGAGGGAGGGACTTGAGTTGGCCTTACTTGCCACCGTCATCATCCTATCATGAAAACAACTTCGGGTTTCCAACGTAGATCGTCCCGTCATGCCCACCCCTGAGCGGCTGGCACCGCCTGGAGGGGGCAGTTCCACCGCGCACTGGGGCACTCTGGGGAATACAGCCTCCCCGCCAGGTGTCCTTCCGGCTCCCGGGTTCACCGAGCTGGGGCAGGTGGGGCGGAGAGGAAGGGCAGAGCGAAGCAGGGAGCGCCAGACACCCAGAGGGGAGCCCAGGCGGCGCCCGGCGCGCCTCGGGCCCCGCCGCTGGTCACCGCCCCGGAGCCCGGAGCACGACTTCCTCCTCGGGGGCCGGCGCGCGGGGCGGGACGGGGCGGGGCAGGCGGGGACGCCCCCGCCCGGCTGGGCGCAGAGCCGCCCCAATGGGATTCGGTGCGGGGCAGCCGCTGCGCCCCATCCCCGCGCAGCGCTCGGCCGCGGAGCAGGCGGCCAGGTCTGGGCAGCAGCGGCGCAGGACCCGTCGAGGGGAGACCGAGCCTGCGAAGCTGGCGTCTGGGGGGGCCATGGTGCCCGGCGCCCGCGGTGCACTGCTGCCGAGGACTGCCGGGCCCAGCCTCCTGGCCCTGTTGCTCGCGGTCTCCGCCCCGCTCCGGCTGCAGGCGGAGGAGCTGGGTGAGTGGAGCGCGTCCGGCGGGCTGCAGGATTCGGGGCGCCGCGGGCGGGCTGCGAGGCAGGCCAGGCCTGGAGGCATTGAGCGCGGGAGGAAGTTGGGCGCGCTGCCTGCACCGCCGAGTTTGACTCTGCTCTCCCAGGCTCGGGGGTCACACAAGTCAACTGCGTTCTGGAGCACGCCCCCACCAAACTCCTTCACCCCCCCCCCCCGCCTCTCTCCCCCCACACACCAAAACCAGAAGGTCAACTTGGTGCCTCTCCACTTTGCTCGCTGCCCCTCAAGCCCCGCTCGCTTAGTTTCCAGACTTCCTGACTCTGCCCGCGCGGCGAGAAAGGACACGGCCCCAAGGGTCGCCTGAGGGAGAGCTGTGCGCGGGGACGGGCTCCACAGCGTGCTGTTGGCTGGGCTGCGGCGCGCGGCGCTGGAATCCCGGCGCGTGCGTTTGGCGGCTCGCACCAAATGGCTGGGCAGTGCCTTGCGGGGGCTGGCCTCGAAAGCGGGCGGGCAGACGGTGCCATCGTCTCCTCGCGAGTGCCCGGCTTGCGCCCCCGTTTGCAGTCTTGTGGCTTGGATCCTACGTGGGCGTTTGAGCGACTGACTGCCCAGCATATTGTTTTTTCTCTGCACCTGGTGCTTGTCTTCGAGTTGAACCTGATTAACTTGCACCCAAGTTTACTCTCTGCCTATCCCCCAGATTAGAGTAGGAAACCGGTTTGCCAGCCCTAAATGTCTCTACTCATTAATCCTCGTTAATTAGTTCTTTTTTGATAGCAGGAGCCAGCTTCCAGCCATTTTTTTTTAGGTCTGTCTCTCTCGTGTGCTTCTGCCTCTGTGTAACAGAGGTATTTAATGGCAATAGATCTATCCAGAATACACTGACAGCAGCCCCACCTCTATGCTTCCTGGTGAAATAAAAATCAAAACTAAACCCAATGCTGGCATTTTTTTCACTGAACTCTGCCTCCATTCTAGTCTGAAACATAGTCACTCAAGATGTTGGTAATGGCTCCTAAATTTACTTATACACCAATTTGTTACAAAGCAAGCAAACCCTAAAGTTATTTTGTCTAAGGGCACTGCATCATAATACTAGGCATATCATAAAATAGTAATGAGGATGGATGCTTTTGTTAAATATGTAAGGTTTTTATAATGGAGGTTTTAAATATTTAAATGTTCTTGTCAAGTCACCATCTGAAGATGCACTTTTAGTACTGTACATCCATGAGTCAATCTAGTAACATGTCCTAGACCAAGCTGGTCAAGCTGTCAGCTAGCCTGCCAAGTGAACTGTCAGATTTTATGTGGCCCTCCAGGCTATTAATAGGGCACTTTGTAGAAAGATCCGCTGGGGGTGGGGGGGGGGGAATGTGATTGTTCAGATTCTTTTACAGCTTCAAATTTGAGTTTCTGTTGTTGACTAGAAGACACTGTCATCTAACTCACACACGTACTTAAGATGGAGAAACAATCAAAGAGTAGCTACACAAAATAGTTTAGATTTGGGACATGTACTGAAGAAACAAGAAATCTACTAAGATTTCCAGTGCTGACACACAGAGACATCATTTGGTTTTTTAAAAATATTTCTCTCATGTCTGATTTCCTGAACTAGCGCTTGATCATGTACTTTTCAAGTGTTCATGTATGTAAGCATACACACCCATGTTAAGTCTTGACATTTGCTTCTGGCTGTGTGCTTTCATGGTGCTATACATTATATTAGTGCTCTTGGGGTTCTAGATGATAAGAGGAATGCCTGAGCTTTGTTTTTGGTGAAAAGTACCCAATTATGAGCAGGAGTACCACTCTTTCACAGACTTACCACCTTCTTTGGAGCCACCAAATGAACACAACCCTGCCCAAAGTTTGAAAGAGCCCCACCCCACCTCCAGAACCCTAGAGCCAGCACCCACCAAATTTGAACAGCTACCACAAAGCAGCTCAGCCCCACCTAATGTCCACCTGCCCAGACCCGAAAGCAGCCCTGACTATATATAAACCCCTAGTCGATATGAGAATGGCACTCTCTACCCTCACTGGTAGTGGATCCCTCTCAGGTTCGGCTCTGAATAAACCTGTTCTGGCTGTTGACTTCATGGTCTCTCTCCCCTTTGTCTTATTCTTCTACTACAAGAGGTGGTGTTGAAACCCAGAGGCTTACGAGACCAGTCCTCTCACCCACTTTGGTCCATCAGAGCCTCATATGGCCGGTAGGAAGTGGAGGCAGAGTTCCTCCACCTGGCCTGGGGCTTATACTGGCCTGCTCTGTGCCAGGAGCTCCAGCCAAGAGCTCCAATACCTTCTGGGTAATGACCGTGACTCTCTCTCCCTCCACTTGATGGTTCTTTCCTCTCTGTGACAAACTGGTGGTGAGGACCACAAGGTGACGGTGATTGCCCGGCTCTTGTGGTACCCTTTGTCCCTGGGCGAGAGTGCTAGCCACACTGTCCCCAGCACAGCTGAACTCCTGCCTAAGAGATTTTTTTTTTCTAATTCTGCCTCTTCCACCCTGCTGACCTGACTAAATCCACTGTTACCTTCTCTCTTCTCCTTTTACCTGCTCTGGAGACCTATAACCCCAGCCAATTCTCCTGCTTAGGGTAGTGGCCAGAGTGGGAGGTCCAGTTAGGGTCCAGGTCCCTTTCTCCTTAATAGACAGACCTTAGTCAAATTGAGGAGTGCTTAGGCTCATTCTCAGAGAACTCCTCCTCTAAATATCATGAAGAATTTCGTCACCTGACACAGTCCTATAGTTTAACTTGGCAGGACCTCTCTCATTCTATCCTCTACATTTTTTTTTTTTTGACAGGCAGAGTTTGACAGTGAGAGAGAGAGAGAAAGGTCTTCCTTTTCCATTGGTTCACCCCTCCAAGTGGCCGCTACGGCCGGCATGTTGTGGCCGGCGCACTGCGCCGATCAAGCCTGGAGCCAGGTGCTTCCTCCTGGTCTCCCATGCGGGTGCAGGGCCCAAGGACCTGGGCCATCCTCCACTGGACTCTGGGCCACAGCAGAGAGCTGGACTGGAAGAGGAGCAACTGGGACAGAATCCAGTGCCCCAACCAAGACTAGAACCCAGTGTGCCGGCACTGCAGGCAGAGGATTAGCCTAGTGAGCCACAGTGCCAGCCCTATCCTCCACTTTAACTCTGGATGAATGTGTGCACATTCTGTGCATGCACTGTCAAACAGCATGCAGGTGAGTTACACTGTCAAGTCCCAGACAGACACCCAGAGGCCGCTTAGGCCATCCGTAGGGCTGCCCTTTCCCTGGATTGTACCTACCAACCTGAAGATCCAGGGGTATGGGCCTGAGACCACATTATTTCCTGCCTGTTGGAGGCTTTGGATAAAAATAGGTATAAGCAGGTCAACTCTGACAAACTTCACAAAATCACACAAGGACTAAAGAAAATCCCACTTGCTTTATGGCTTGCCTTTCAGAGGCAATGGTAAAATATACCAACATGGATCCCAATTCCAGAGAAGGACAGTTGATTTTACATCTCCAATTTATATCCCAAAAGGACCTGGATATCTGACACAAACTCCAGAAGCTGGGGGACAGTCCACAAACCTCTTAAAAGGACTTTATCAATGCAGCTTTTCATATCTTTAATAGGGACAATGAACTAAAGATTCATAAGGAGAAAAATACAAATTTAAAGTATCATATGCTTGCCTCTCTGATCCATCAAACTGCTAATGAGCTTAACCACAAGCCAAATCCCAGCCCTTCGGGAGTCTGTTTTCAAAACAGCAACACCGGGCACTGGACCAAGGCCTGCCCCAACCCAAGATCTCCCACTAAACCATGTCCCAACTGCAAACAGTGGGGATGCTAAAAGATGGATCTGTCCCCAGGATGTCGCCCTCCCCAACTGGGACAGCCCTCTGCTCCACCAACTCTAGCACAAGACATCTCTGTTAACAGAATGAGGAGGCCTGCGTTCTGTAGCCCCCATCACAAACTAGTCTGTGGACCCAAGGGTGATAGGGACGGTGTCTGGTGAGTGGATCTCTTTCTTGGTAGATACTGGGACTAGTTTATCTGTTTTAAATGAATATTGGGCCCCACTCCTTCCTTCTTCTGTCTTTGTTGTTGGCATGAAGGACCTCAATGAGACACTGTAACTCCTCCTTTATATTGCTGCTTTGGAGATATAACCCTCCCATACTTTTTTCTTGTCCTCCCCAATTGCCCCATCCCCATTTTAGGTAGCTCCACCAGTTGGGACCATCTGTCTCCATTCAAACCAGAGATAAAACCCATATGTTCTTCCTCCATATCAAGGACCTCACTTGCTCTACCTCCCCATCCCAGGTTCCTCCTCTCCAGTCCATTCTTCCTCTGGTTAATTCTGTAGTATGGGATATATCCCACCCTGTAATTGCCATCCACCATGCTCCAGTTTGCATCTCCCCAAAGGATCTCACAAGAGCTATTGTTCCCCAATATCTTTTAAGTCTCGAAAGCCATAGAGACCTAAAGCTGATTATAAACCACTTCTTTAGGCTCACATTCTTGTCTCTACCCACTCACCTCTCAATACACCTATATTCCCCATCAGAAAATAAAATGGCTCTTTCCTCCTAGTTCAAGACCTTAGATACATTAACTCTCCTGTTCACCCCACCTATTGAGTCATTCCTAACCCTATATTCTCCTCTCCCAAATACCCCCTACAATTTCTTTTTTCTCCATCTTGGACCTAAAGGATGCCTTCTTCATGATTCCTCAACCCATCCTCCCAGCTACTCTTTGCCTTTGGTCTGAGTCCAATCCCTGCCATACTTGACAAGTTACCTGGACTGTTTTACCCCAAGATTTCCAAGGTAGCACCCATCATTTTGAACAGGCCCTCCAAGCTGACTTAGCTTCTTTCAACTTTTCATCCAGCACACTTCTTCAATACTTTGATAATCTTCTATTCTGTAGCCCCACCTAAGAAGCCTATCTTCAACACACTGCTAGTCTTAAAATTTTCTACCTGATAAAG